CCTTTAGAACTGCTTTTGCTGTGTCCCAAAGGCTTTCAGCTGTTGGGTGTCCATTTTCAGCTGTTTCCAAGGATTTTTCGAGTTCCTCTTTGCTTTCTATGTTGACTCCTTGGTTTAGTAAGAAGCATATTGTTTGGTGTCCATATGTTCATGTTTTTCCCAGTTTTTAAAATTTTTTTCCTTGTAATTGATTTTTAGTTTGATAGCCTTGTAGTAGGAAAAGGTACTTGATAGGATTTTATTCTCTGACACTTACTGAGTCTTGCTTTCAGCCTAACATATGATTTATCCTGGGAACAATCCATTTGCTATTGAAAAGAATGTGTCTTCAGTTGGTTTGGGAAGCAGTGTTGTATACAGATGCATTAAATCCATCTGGTTGAAAGCTACCATTTCCTTACTGATTTTCTGTGTAGATGATCTATGCATCATTGATGTGTAAGTGGGGGTCTGAGGGTGAAGTCCTTTACTGTTATTGTTTTACTGTTACTTTCTCCCTTGAGATCTGCTAATACTTATTTTACATATTTAGATGTTCCAATGTTGGGTATGTAGATAATTGATATTGTTCTACTACTCTCTTGTTCAATTGATCCCATTATTACTATTATTATTTAATGCCATTCTTTGTCTTTTAATACAGTCTTTGTTTCAGAGTCTGTTTGGTCTGATACATGTCATGCTTCCCAGTTTTTGTTTTGGTGGGGTTTTTTTTTTTTTTTTCCACTTCCATTTGCATGAAATGCCTTTTCCATTCCTTTACTTAAAAGTCTCTGTGTGTCTAGGTATAAAGTGACTCTCTTTTAGGCCACATGTAGATGGGTCTTGTATTTTTATCCAGTCACCCTATGTCTTTTGATGGGAGCATTACGGACCTCATTACCATTTCATTGTTTTGTAGTTTATGTAGTTCTGCCATGTTCCCTTCTCTTTGTGACTGATGGCTTTCTGTAGTGTTAAGTTACACAGTCTGAAGTTGATGTTCTAAGTTTAGACACATTCAGAAAGCACTTTACTCATCCCTCTACCTTTTATGTATATGAAGTCATATTTTACATATTTTTATTTTGCAAATCCCTTAATGTAGATATAATTGATTTAACTACTTTTGCCTTTTAATGTTCCCAATAGCTGGGTAAGTGATTTATCTACTTCCTTTACTGTGTGTTTGCTTTTACCTGTGAAATTTGTCCCTTTTTCAGTTTTCACCTCTAGGCATGGCCTTTTCTTCTTAGAAAAAGTCTTTTTAACATTTCTTAAAATGATTGAGTGGTGATCAGTTACTCTTCTTCAGGTAGCGTATTCCTGATTGTAGGTTTTTTCTTTCTCTACTTGGAACAGATCATGCCACTCCCTTCTGTTCTACAAAGTTTGTGTTAAGAAATCTGGTAGGTTTATGGGGTTTCCCTTATATGTAACTAGCTGCTTACCTCTTGGTGGCTTTAAGATTATCTCTTTAATTTTTGATACTCTGTTTCTTGGTGTGGACCTCGTTGGGTTCATCTTACTTTGGTTTGTGATTCTTGGGCCTGTATCTGCTACCTTCACCAGGCTAGGGAAGTTTTCAGCTCCGTTCTTGCTTTTCTGGGACCCCTATAATGGGAGTATGTATATAGTATGGTTAATGTCCCAGAGACTATTTAGCCTTTCATTTTTTTTTTTTCCTTTTTGCTCTTCTGCTTGGTTGCATTATGATAGCCTGTCTTCTGGATCACTGGTCTGTTCTGCCACTCCTCTCCTTTGCTGCTGATTCTCTCTAGTGTATTTGTCATTTCACTTACTGTATTTCAATCTGATTGGCTCTTTTTTATATTTGCTGAATTTATGCACTCTTCAGTAGACTGAATCTTTGTTTCATTTAAGCATATTCCTATCTCCCGTTTTGACTTTGTGAATTAGGTCAAACACTTAGTTCTCCCAGTGTTGAAAGGGTGGCTTTCTGTAGGGATGTTCCCTGTGCAGTCGATGTGTGTTGGGAGCCTTGAGGTGTAGGTGTACCACTGCGTCCCATGCTGGGGCCGTCGCGGCGAGATGGCTTGAGCGCACCAGGGGGACGGGGATCATTGAGGCCACCGGCCGGCTAGAATGCACCAACTCTGCTTCTGTCTGCATGGTCAAAGTGGAAGGGGCACATAAATAACTTTGCTCCTGAACACTTCCAACCCCAGAGTAAAGTTTAACCATTTCCCCACCTTTTCAGAGATGTTAGTGGTGGGTCTCCTTCACTTCTAGTCTGCTTGGTGACTTCAGGCTGGGTGGCATTCGGGTCCAGGTCTTCACCTCACTCTGAAAGTTTATCCCCCGTCGCCAGCATTATTCCATTTGGTCCTCCTGCCTTCTACAGCTCTGTGACACCGTAGATGCAGGACTTGTGTACCTCTTCCAGCTTTTCTTTGGGAACATTAGTCTGCCGTCAGCTGTCCCATCCTCCGTAGATGTAGTATGTGGTATTTTTTCCTACCAAATGCCTTTTGACAAGTACAGTAGCCTATTAGGAAGATTAGGGATAGTAGAAACAGGTGATTATTGAAAAGCATGGATTTGAACTGTACAAATCCAATTATATGTGGGGTTTTTTTTTGATACAGTACGATACAGAAAATATTTTTTCTTGCTGTGATTTTCTTAACTTTTCTCTAGCTCACTTTATTATAAGAATATGGTGTATATATATAACATAGAAAATACATATTAATAGACTTTTACCAGTAAGAATTCTGGTTAACAGCAGGCTATTAGAAGCTTTTAGAGAGTCAAAAGTTAAATTTTTTACTGTTCCAGGGGGTCACAGCAGCACTAACCTCCGCATTATTCAAGGGTCAACTGTAATATTAGGAAATCACTGGTTTCTAGTGTGGGATTAAAGAGGAGAGGATGGAAAGGTGGTGTGAGAAGGTACGGAGTTGCAGAGAGGGAGGATATGTGAATGGAGAGCAAAGCCAGGATCCCTACCACTTGATCATTGGTGCTTTGGTTACTTCTATCTCCCGTGGTCCTGTGGGAAGTAAGTGCTGAGAAGATAAAGTCAAAAACATGGTTGCTGATCGAGAAAGAGCCAGACACCCAAAAGAGATCCCAAATGTGTTTAGCCCTAACAAAGAATAGAGCTAGGCCAGACCTGCCTGCCTCTGAATTTCACATTGAGAAAAACTACCATGATGTGTCCCTTACCTGGACAAAAGCCTGTGTAAGTATGGACTATCCTTATTCGGAGGTTAACCCACAAAGTTGAAAAATCTTGGGTTGTGTGTTAAGTGTAAAATGTCCTTTTTTTCTGAGAATTGACCGGTGGTGGTAGAGATCTTTTGTAAAACAGAGTGGCAGTTCTGACATTGTTTTGAGATTTTTGCTGGTAAATGAAATCCAAGTATCTTGGAACTACAGTTCTTCTTAAGCCCTCTTTTAGTCAGAGTGACCCCTATGAGATCCTTCTAGTCCGAGTTCTTTCAGCAGCTGCCTGGAGAGGGGTAGGAAGGGACAGAGACAGAGCCTTAGGAAATGTCTGTGAATCATGTGAGGGTGGGGTGCCGGGGAAGTTGAAGGACAGTAATGAGGAGTGGAGAGTCCAGCATTTCCCCCACCAGCAGTACTAGTGAAAGAGATGGAAGAGGTTTTTTTTTTTTTTTTTAAAGATTTTATTTATTTATTTGTCAGAGAGAGAGAGAGGGAGAGAGAGCAAGCACAGGCAGACAGAATGGCAGGCAGAGGCAGAGGGAGAAGCAGGCTCCCTGATGAGCAAGGAGCCCGATGTGGGACTCGATCCCAGGACGCTGGGATCATGACCTGAGGCAAAGGCAGCCGCTTAACCAACTGAGCCACCCAGGCGTCCCATGGAAGAGGTTTTCATGGGCGTGATGGTGGTTGCAGTTCTAGCTACTGAGTGGGATATCCCTCTTGACTTGGTTAAGAGCACCATTGAATTTCAGACAGCAAAGAGGACCTTAGAGTTCTAATCTGTATTCAGCAGCATCACGGGATGGTGGGGACCCAGGCCGGGTTGGGGAGGAGGGGGGCTTTCACCTTCCCTGAGTCTGCTTTTCAGGAAGTCCATGCCTGCCAGCTTAATCACCACGATTGTTCTCTATCTGCATTATACACAAGTTACTGACTGATTAGTATTCCAAATAAAATTCATATCCTTATTTGATGTTGTTTGTTTGAAACCAAGTTTTAGGATATGAATACTACAGATACTACCTGTTATCATTTTAATCCGCAGCAAAACTTATTCCATTTTTACTTGCTGTTTCTTTGAATATGTTAATAGAAGTTACCTAATTCATTTCGTGTTTTATCACATTCCATTAGATCTACATATTTTTAAATATAGACAACTTTTTTTACTCTGTATATCCTCTTGTTATCCAAACTCATTTCATGGCATCTGGTGGTTGCATAATTCTGGTTATCTAAAATGCTGGTGCTGTTACAGATGACTTAAGGCAATTATAAAATGTATTTTTATAATTTATGAGTAACTTTAAATGGAAGAAAGTTTTCTTGATTTCATGAAGTGTTTTCAAAGACATTATCAAGAATAAGATTTGTTACTTCCTCTGAATGAGCTTAATTTGCTAGTAACTTTGCAAGTGGGCTACATAGTAACCATAGAGATGGTAAAATAAAATTTCCTGTATTTTAGCAAGTGACATTTTTAAAAAGTTACTTGTGATTAAGTATTTGCATATTCAGATGAGTAACTATCTGTTGCTTTTTTGAATATTCCTCTTCCCATCCTTCTCCCTGAGTCTGAGCAAGAAAAACTTTACCTGGATAAGTTTCAGGTGGTTTTTTGTTGTTGTTTTCCTCATTCCTGTTGGAATTAAGCCAACAGGTCATTTTATATATAGCTTTTATGGATTATTCTCTTGAAAACTGATACACATTTCGTTTTTGAACTCCAATGGTTTATGGGAATGATACTAACTATTGTGGGTTTGTTCTGTCTGGTCACTGTAACCTTTATTTGGCACATGAACAACTCATCTATTCTGTTGCAGGTGGTTTGACATTGGTTGTTTGATAGTGGAAGACCCCGTCCATGGCATTCACCTGGAAACGTTTACACAGGCCACACCTGTGCCTTTGGAATTTGTACAGCAGGTTCGTTTTCTTCTTTTTCATCCTACTCCATAGAAACTTGAAATACCGTTTTTAGGATACAAGTTTGTGTGAAATAGGCTATATATTCTTGATTTTGTGGCAGCTTTGCACTGTTAGCCTTTTCTGTTTTTCAGTTTCTAGTTTGAGTACCTTCCTCCTTTCTTTTCCAGCTGTCTTTGAAAAGGTAATATGTCACAGGCTTAATCACTATTTTCCTCTTCTTTTTATTATCCTGTTCACTACTGTCAGCAGAAAAAACGATTTACCTGTTCTGCTGGTGGTCTGTTTACCTTTCATTATCTATCATTTTGGTCCCCCATTACTTCCGTACCTTTGTCTTCGTTCATCTTTTGTAATAAGTGGAAACCAGTTTAGAAACCTTACCTGTGGGGTGCCTGCGTGGCTTAGTTGGTTAAGCATCTCCCTTTGGCTCAGGCATTGGGCTCTCTGCTCCCTGGAGAGCCTGCTACTCCCTCTGCCTGCCACTCTGCATACTTGTGCTATTTCTCTGTTAAATAAATAGAATCTTTTAAAAAGAAAAACCTTACACGAAAGGCACATGGCTTTCGGTTTGTTAAAAATTGAACTCTGAGTTCACTCGTCCACGTGGTATTTAGAATGGAAGCATCATGTACAATAACTGGTTCCCTACCTTTCATCCTTTATTTACATTCTGGTTTGTTCGAGAGGTTTTTGTGGAAGGCTTAGTACTCCATGGAAAAGTGCATTTTGTTGTCCTTTTCCTAAGTTCCATTTCACAAGATTTTCAACACATTTGGTCTTATGGACATTGTTAAATGTCATCTAAAACTCTCTCAAGAGTTAGTTGGGTCTTTAGCTATTTAGCCTTGTTCATGATGGTCTCCCTAGGCATCATGACCCTGTACATAAACCACCACCATGGTTTATGTACTTGCCCGGGCACTGTCATCCCCACGAGGGCGTTTCTCAAACACCATCCTAGATATTATGGATATTTCACATTACAGAATCATTTTATGTCCTTCAGTGAAAGGAGTAGCTTTAATAATGTCTGCTGGTAAATGCCCCCCAAGTGGAAATATCCGACTCCGGAGTCCCAGTAGGGGTCACCAGGCACACTTGAATTTTTGCCATAAGCCTCAGTCTAAGCTCCACGTTGGGCAGTGGCACAGAGAATTTGCTCCTGCTAGCATACCAGCTCCTGTTCCACACCGTGTGGGCCCAGACAGTCTTCCTGGTTCTCAGATAGCATGTCCAGCTAATCATGCATGAAGGGCATATCTCCACTGTTTCAGTTTCAGCATACTAGGTCTGGGAAGCTTTCCCCAGTGAGACTGCAGTGTCCATCCTCACAATACAGTCAGGTATCAGAAGGCCACTTCACACCTAACAGTTTCCTTACAGATTTGACTGTAATTCTATCAAATTGTGTCCCTCCGTATATCCATCCAGCATCAAGGCCAGACTAAGCATTGTCTTTTTACTTTGATGTTAGTTATGGTAGAGAACCACCACCAAGTGGTGGACTGTTTTGCCTTTTTCTTACTAGTTTGCATTTCTCTATGTATTCAGTAAACCAGCTTCCCAGGAGGCAGAGCCATCTCTAATTTCCATGGTAACCTTACCTTTAGTGATAGACTGCAGCCCTGATGCTGCTCCAGTCCAGCACTGACCACGTGGCCACCCAGCGGCCAGAGGTTTTTCAGCCCTCATCCTTTCCTCCCTGCTCTTCGTAAGCTACACATTTCAAGGAACCAGGGCTGTTCTAGCCAAGTACCTTTCCTGACACCAACTATTGAGGTTTCAGACCCAATTCCTGTGTCTGGGAGGGGTTTTTCCACACCACCAAGGAATTTTAGGATTCCAGATGGTGTCAGACATTTCATCTCAATTCTGACTCTACACCTGGAGATAGTATCCAATCCCACAGAATAAGGACTCTGTCCTACAAGACTGGCCCCTCCTCATCGCAGAGGCCAGTGACAAGTCCAGGTGTCTTGTCTGGTTCTACAGATTGGTTCTAACAATCCCCTCCTTCTCAGGAACCCTCTCTACTCACTAAGTCGCTTATTTATTATGAAAAGATAGATCCTGGAAACAGGCAGATGGAAGAGATGCAGAGGGCAAGATCCCGGGAAAGGGCGCAGAGCTTCTGTGTGCTCTCCTAGCCTGCTGCTCTCCTAGAATCTCCACATGGGCACACAGGCACCAACCCAGAAGCTCTCCCAACTCCAGCCTTTTGGGGTTTTTATGGAGGCTTCATTGGATAGTCATGATGGAGTCAGTCATTCACCATTGGTTATTTAATCATCTTGCAGCCTCTCTCCCTGTCCTGGAGCTGGGAGGGGGTGGGAAGACAAGCTATAACTGACCTTTGAGTAACATGGGTTTGAACTACACAGGTCCATTTATAAGCAGACTCTTCGACGTTCTTGGTAGTTTCTCTTTTTGCTTTTCTTAACATTTTTTCTATAGCTTAGTGGACTTCAAGAATATGGTATATAATACATAACATTACAAAGGGGGTGTTAATTGACTTATCACTAAGGCTTCTGGTTAACAGTAGGCTGTTAGTAATTAAGTTTTGGGGGAGTCAAAAGTTATATTGTGGATTTTCAGCTATACCAGGTGGTCACTCTCCTAACCTCTACATTGTTCAAGGATCAGGTGTATATGTATTTTTAACTGTAAATCACAGTATCACAAACAGAACAGCCTGGCCAAGATTGGTTTATCCCAGAAATGGCCTGATGGTTCAAGCAATAGCTTATCAGTTTACTCAGTTCAAACATGAGCATGTTAAAAGAGAAAAAAGGATTTCAATAGAATTGAAATGTTAGAAATAACTACCATAGGGTTAACTGTTAGGTAATTAGGATATATATATGCCGGAAAATCAACACAAAAATCAGACCTGGTGATCAAATATTAGAACCTCAGATACCTAATGAATTAGACAACATATAGGCCGAGATGTCAGTGAACATTTCAGATGATGGGAAGGCTCAGAGAAGAGCACACTGATGAGGGAGGGACTGTGGAAAAGGACAGGAAGGATTAGGGGTGGAGGCTCTTTGCTCAGCATTCCTCTTCCTCTTAACCTGAAGCAGCATGGACTCCTACTGGAGCCTTGGACGCTGAGTGCTGTTAGATGGCATCATGAGATTAAGACTGAGTGGACACTGAACAGAGGAGGTTTGTGTAGTAGTGTTCTGAGTCTTCGTAGCCTTAGCCTTGTCACCTCACAGAGCTGCCAGCATAGCTGTGTTTCTCAGGGTTTGTTGTCCTCTATACTAAGGGACTTTGGGATGTCACTTAGAGCTAGGCCCAGTCATTTGTTTTCAATGCAATATAAATCATACCCAGGTTCATTTTTCCACAGGCTCAAAGTCTCACTCCCCAGGACTACAGTCTGAGGTGGTCAGGCCTTCTGGTGACAGTGGGTGAAGTCCTGGAAAAGAGCTTAGTGAACGTGACGCGGACTGACTGGCACTTGACATTCACCGGCATGTCTCGCCGGCAGATGATCTACAGTGCAGCCAAAGCCATTGCTGGAATGTACAAACAGCGCCTGCCCCCCAGGACCGTGTGACATGAGACTCACCCAGGGCACAGTGACCTCTTCGCTTGGAGCGTGGCGGTAAAGACTTGGTCCCATCCCCTTGTGGGGAGCTCCAGCAGATGTCGGGGTCTTGCGAATGTGCCTCTAGGCTACACTTGATCTTTTCTAAAAAGGCACGGTGTCATTCCAGTAGCTGCAAAGAAACAGATCCTTGCTGTGATTGTGTAATTTCACGTACCACAGTTCTTAGAAAACAACTATTTTTATAGGACAATTTGATATACCAAATCTGTACGGTGCAAATTCACGTGCTACGACCTTTAACTTAATGATACGTACTTGATTATTTTGTTGAAGATTGAAGAACATGTCATTGTTTATTTCATGATTTCTCTCTTCTTAGTCCTTGATGCTTTTTGTGTGTGCGGGTGATCTCAGGTCTGACACCGAACCGCGTGCTCAACAGCTGACCCTCAGACACCTACTTGCAGGGAGATGGCGCACGTTTCTGTGCATACTTTTTACATGGGCCAAAATAATGTTTGTTGTTTTTTTTTTTTGTCATCCTGTACATACACACATCCTCTAAAAAAAAAAAAAAAGATTTCAAAGTAAGTTTTGGCATTTCACATATTTAGATTCTGAGACATTGCAGTACTATTTTATTTTTCTTTGCTATATGACAACTAAGTGGCCCATGATTTGAGTGTATTTTAAATCAGAAGCATTTTGTTATTTTTATATAGTACTATTCAGTATTTTCAAGTAAACTCAAGACAACAGCCATTATTTCTGCTTCCACTCATATATTCAAGTGTCGTATAGAAATTTTTCAGAGGAATTACTTTATTATTTATGGGGTTGTATGCCTCCTCTTTTAATTAAGGTTACTTAATATTTAGTTTGCCTTAAACACTGCTTTTCTAACTTGGTGCCATTCTGCCTTTACTCTTTATGGAATTTTCAGTGAAACTATTTAATATTCAACCTGGTTTATCTAGTTCATCATGTTTGTATTTAGTGACTAAAGCTTCTCCCTCCCCCCAGCCCCAAATAATATATTTTAGCATTTTTGGATTTATATAAATCAGAATTTAAATAGTTTGTCTTATACTTTGGATTCTACGTATGCAAATTCCTATAATGTTTTGAAGACAGTTTCTTACACAAATGTGATTTAATTTTTACTTACTCGTCTATACAGTTCTTTAGCTGTAAATTAGCAGGTGTTGAAGCTCTTACCCTGCACTGTCACTACAGGTAACATTGCTTTGTATTACTTTGAGTACTTACACGATTTTTGCTTTTTTTACCTGAGGATGAGAAGCATTATTTTCACAACTCTCTGTTCATTTCCAAGCACTGTATGATTGCTTGGTGAAATTCCGACTTGTCTGTCATTAAAAGGAGAGAAAAGACATGTAACCAATTGTTGCGGCGTGATAGGGCTAGAGTGATTTTCTCCCCTTTCATTGCTATTTGTGCAACACTTGATGTTTTCTCCATCTGATTAATAAAAAAGAGAAGCCTTTCTGTACCATTTGCTTTTTTATCCTTTATTTTAAAAAAGCTACACTTCTCTAACAGTATTTATCATGGCATTGGCCAGGTGACAAATCACGTTAGGGACAAAGGATGCCCGTTCTTGGAATGTGCGAGTGCGAATAGGCCATTTTCCCTCCTGTTTCAGGGAATCTTAGAGGTCCTAAAAAAATGTCTGTTTTCTCTTCTTTTTATTTTACCAAGTCTCAAATAGTTTAGGTCTTTGAGGGCTGTTTTCATAGAATCACAAACATGGACATCCCCTTAGAGTACAATTTTTCCACAGTCCTCAAATTCTTCGGTTATGTGGTGGCTGGTGTGAAGCCAGGTAATTTTCCCATCCCTGGTCATCTGCTGAGCCTTTGGCCCTTTGTAACAGTGTGAGTGGGCGAGGAGGATTAGGGAAGGGCACATGGAAGAGATAAACCCACCATCCGGTTTTTGCCTCTGATGTTTTTTTTGGCCAACAGTTACTGTTGAAAGTCATCCAAGCATGACTGACTCCACACACTGTTTTCCCCACCTCATGCTTATTTTTTCATCTTTAGATTTGTCATATGAGGGGCAAGAAAAGTAACTCCTTACCTCGTACATGCCACAGCGGCTTGAGCTGGGCAGGCCTGTCGTGAGTGTTGGCCTGAGATAAGCGAGCCCTCAGTCGGCGGCCACATTTCCCCTCACCAGCACCCAGCTGTCCCCGGTTCTTTGCCCTTCGGGCTCATCTCCTGCCGACACTAGCATTTCTGAAGGAGAGTCAGACTCTGGGCTCTTTGCTTTTTTTGTCCCTCAAGCTTCTCAGAAAAACCAGCCTCTAACACAGTTCTTCACCACTGTTCTTGTGGTCGGGTCTTCAATATTTGTTCTTCTGAAGCGCTCCAGGAATCATTTAGTCAACTTCCTCAGCTGGTACACTGTTTTGTTTTAATTAAGCAGTGTGAAAGACAACAGGAAAAATGCAGCAAGAGTAATGTAACATCAGCCTCGGGTGACAGAAGGGAACTCCAAGACCCTTCAGTTAATAAGCCTGGACCAGGTCTGTGCCACTGTTGGAAAACTTCTGGCGGGTCCAGTTTTCTCCTCCTTGTCTCTTAATTACTTCCCCATTCTTTGTTCCTTTTTTTTTTTTTTTAATTTTTATTTATTCATTTGACAGAGATCACAAGTAGGCAGAGAGGCAGGCAGAGAGAGAGAGGAGGAAGCAGGCTCCCTGCCGAGCAGAGAGCCCGATGTGGGGCTCGATCCCAGGACCCTGAGATCATGACCTGAGCCGAAGGCAGAGGTTTAACCCACTGGGCCACCCAGGTGCCCCTCTTTGTTCCTTTTTATCTTAAGGATTAACAAGGTAGAAAAATCGAGATGACTGAATTTAAACCAAGTGGTGGTATACTGGTAAGGTTAAGGAAAGTATGATATGCATGTATTCAAAAATTATGCAAATTACTGATACACTCAGGGTCAAGTTAATTACTTTATGTTGTTGAATTTACATTGTTCTTTGACTACAAAAAATTCTCAATAGATGTTCGTGTTCTCTGAATCCAAATTGATGGTATTTTGTGATCCAAAAGATGTTGGGTAATGCATAAATTAAGAAAGTTGGATTTTTACTCCCAGCATATGATGTTCATTCTTAAGATACTATGCAGGATGATGTATTGGATAAGAACAATTTTATAAGAATGTAAATATGTTACAAATAAATAATACCTCAATTTAGTTCCTGAAGTTGTAAAGTGATTTTTTAAATGCTGAGTCATATTAATATTCTGTTAGAAGGGCCTATATTACTTTAATAGTCCCAACGGGTTACTGGTTGCCAAGAGTTCCTACAGAATAGCAACTTAAAAACATATCTTTCAAGTGCAGTGCTAATGATTCAAATATACCTGAATTGCTAATTTTCATGCTCAGAGAACTCAATATTTAGGGCAGACGATATTTTGGAGTTGGAGGTGATGGGCAAGAGGTTATAGCCTGTGCTCCTGAGGAGATGTCTTGACTGGGGAGTTTAATTTGCCCTTAACCTCCACAAATATCTCCTCCCCCCCCCCCCAAAAAAAAGAAAGAAAAGGAAAAGGTTACTATATTTGCTATTCTGAGCCTGTGATCTCAGGGCAGAGATTTCTGTTTTGATTTGTTAGGCAAGGGGGTACTTCACAAAAGACCATGAAATATCATTTGGGTGTTTTGTTTGTTTGCCAAAGGAAAAAAAATACTGTTTTTAGTACACTAGAAAAACACCAATTCAGAATCCAGGATAGGCTCTATTAAATTTATACTTCGTTTTAGAATCAACTGGAGGAGAAAAAACAGTTTAGGCAAGAGAAACAAAATTAGCAAGACAAAATTAGCAATTAATATAAAGATTTAAAAACTTACACATAAAGGAAATTTTTGAAATTGTCCTTAACATGAATACATATTAAGGATTTAAAGCAGTAAGAAAAAGGAACTGATAAGCGCTAAGTGCATAGTGCTGGTTCGGTACTGGAGTAGAAACAGAATCAGCTACTAACTCAGTATCCTCCCAGTGAATCTGTTACAAAGGACTGAAGCGGAGGCTGTCACTTCCCAAATCCTTCTCTTATAAAACATCCTGCATATTTGCTTCACGAACTTAGTGGTACATAGCTAGTCCTGTAAATATTTGTTGAATTCAACTTACTTGAAACAATAGCTTGAGACTTTGCCCTGGTATACTCTCAGTTTTACAACATTATGTTTAAGGAACACTCTTTTTATTCCATATTTTTCATTTTAGTTTTAAGTACTGCTTTGGGCTTTGCCACTGGTCTAAGAATATATTTGTGGTCATTGAATATTCTGCTCCCAAATTTAAGAAACCAGAAACTAGGTTTACATTTTACTGTTTTTAGGATTAGAGCCAGAAATGTTCTAACTAGTCTTCAAGAACGATACCACATATCTCGTAAAATATATTTTAATGTTCTGAGTCCTCCTGCTCCAGGGGCCACACTTGAGAACCACTACTGTGAGACCATTCCTGCTTCATTCTTCATGTCCTAAGATACTTTAGAGACGGATATCACCCAGATAGCATAGGTCTTTCCTTCGTTCCTGACCTCACTCTCCCTCCCTCACAAGAAGAGCAACTAGCAACTCTTCCTGGACAAGATACCACTGAGAGAATCCTAGAACGGGGATGAGGCTGAAGCAGCCCTGCACCACGGAGACGGAGAGACGCTGTGTGAGGAGAGACCCAGCCAGCTGCTTGCCTACGTTGCCCTCCCCGAGGCCGGCAGAGCACGGCACAGAGACCCCTGCCGAGCCTCTGGATACTTCACAGGGAAAGGAAATCCCAGGGTAGATATCCAGTAACCCCAGCATTATGGGTTGCTTCTTGGGAGCCCCCACTCTAGTCTCAAATCCCAGAAATTGTGGGCAAGACTACAGGACTTGGCCATCTTTGCCAATAGATTTCCTCCCCGCAGCACCCAAGCAGTGGTCCCGATCAGCAGTTTGCTCACCTGCAGAACCAAGCATGTGGCTCAGTCTGACCTGGCAACTCACCACAGGGCGGGTCTGCCCCCTTCAGGTCCTCTAATCAGTAGCCTCCCCAGCCCTGGATCCTGGTCTTCCCCCACCCAGGCAGGGGAGCTGAGCCAGAGCCCAGCCCTCTGTCGATTGTAACCAGAAAGGCCCACAGGAACCCCCGGAAGCTGCAGAGCCTGGCAATGCTTGTGCAGACAGTACGGCAGGCAGAGCTGACCATCCAAAGAATGAAGCCAGTGCCAGGTAGTGGAGGGTTCCCCTGATTTGCCCCATCAGAGGAGCTAATTCATACCCTACTCACCATTAAATAAAACTCCCAACACCACCAAACCAGAAAGCCAGACTCAAACACCTGGAAAGCTACATAGCCCATCAATTCTGGAGTGGAGAACCCGAAAGGCAGAGCTGATAGTCTGCAGAGCAAGGCTGGAAACCCTGCTGAGCTAGGAAACTGGGAGAAATGGGTTGGCTTGAGAAAAGAAAAGCCTTTACCAGCCTTGGAGCT